AACTCTCTATCCCTCTCCCTTCCTCTCTGTAAAAAATCAATAAAATATATTTAAAAAAATAATAATAAAATAAAATACATTATGTATGTCCTCCAGTGAGGATTCAGAAACAAAAAAAGTCTCAAGAACTAAATATTAACAGGAACCTCTGTTAACATTTGGTCGATCTTCTTCTAGTCTTTTTTCTCAACATCGACAGACATACATTTATTTGTTTGTTTGTTTTAGAGAGGGAGAGAGAAACATCAATTTGTTGTTCCACTTTTTTATGAATTCATTGGTAGATTCTTTAAAAAAAGGAAATATCTTTTTTATTATTTTTTTACTATTATTGGTTTCAGAGAGGAAGAGGGAGAGATGGAAACATCAATGATGAGAATCGATTGGCTGCCTCCTGCACACCCCCTACTGGGGATCAAGCCTACAACTCGGGCATGTGCCCTTGACCTGAAGTAAACCCAGGACCCTTTAGTCTGCAGGCTGACACTCCATCCACTGAGCAAAACCAGCTAGGGCCATTGGTTGATTCTAGTATGTGCCCTGACCAGGGATCAAACCTGAAACCTTGGTGTATCATAAGGACACTCTAACCAACTGAGCACCCCCTACTGGGGATCAAGCCTACAACTCGGGCATGTGCCCTTGACCTGAAGTAAACCCAGGACCCTTTAGTCTGCAGGCTGACACTCCATCCACTGAGCAAAACCAGCTAGGGCCATTGGTTGATTCTAGTATGTGCCCTGACCAGGGATCAAACCTGAAACCTTGGTGTATCATGAGGACATTCTAACCAACTGAACTACCTGGCCAGAGCCACAGATTTCTTTTATTTTGTCGGGTAGTTTATAACGATGGGATCATAGTCTGTGTCATGTTTTACATTATGATAAAGTGCTAGAGTAATACATAAAGTAGAGTGTCACAGACCCTTGTGTTCCCACCCCTAGAAGCCCTCCTCCCACCCTGGCACAGAAGTCTTTCCCAGGCTTTCCAAGGCGTTTCCATATATATGGGCTGCGCTGTAACCATCCTCTTTCTTGAAACTCCCTCCTGAAAGGGCTTTGAGAGGCTGGTCTGCAACCAGAAGAAGGAGAACGAGACCAAGGTGGTGCTGTGTGAGCTGGGCAACCCCATGAAGAGGAATGTCCGGGTGAGGCCGCTGAGTCCTGGGTGCTGGGTCTCCTCCACCAGGGCCTCAAAGGCAGCTGGGTTTTCGTGGCTGGGTTTGGAGCCAGCCCGGGGCCGGAACCCTGGTCCTCCCACTCCCTAGCTGTGCGATCTTGGATGAGTGGGCTTCTGAGTAAGACGGAGATAATAATGGTGACCGTGGAGATGAGGCCTGGAGGCCGCATGCAGTGTTCAGAGTGGGCATCTGTGCAGTGACGTTGGCCCTTCCGGTCTCTCAGGCAGGAATCACCATGTTGGTGAGCGTGGAGAACCTGGAAGAGGCTGGGGAGCAAGTGTCCTTCCGGCTGCAGGTCAGGAGGTACTGCACTGGGGAGCACCTGATGCGGAGACACGCAGGGGACCCCATGCAGGGGGGTCTTCTGGGATGCTGGCTCTTCAGACTGCCCTGTTCCCTTTCCTCCTCAGAGACTTGTTTCTGAGTCTTGGAGCCCAAAGAGAAGTTCTTTCCCAGGTTAACCTTGGTGTGGGTGGCACAGGTCAGGTCTTCCTGAGCCGTCTGAAATCCGGGCCCCGCCCCCAGAGAGTTCTGACGTTCACTGGGCTGCTGTCCCTGACCTGCTTCTCCTCGTCCCCTCCCGTCCAGCAAGAACAGCCAGAATCCAAACAGTGAGGAGGTGGTGCTGGATGTGCCAGTCCGTGCGGAGGCCCATGTGGAGCTTCGAGGGTGAGAGGCCGGGGAAGGATAAGGGAGACGGCAGGCCGAGTCCTAAGGCTCGAGGGGTCCTGGGGGGACTCCCACAGCAAGTCGGGGGGTCGAGCTTACGCTGGGAGCTTGGGCCCCTGCAGGAGCTCCTTTCCAGCCTTCCTGGTGGTGGCGGCGGAAGAAGGCAACAGGGAGAACGCCTCAGACACCTGGGGCCCCAAAGTGGAGCACACCTATGAGGTAGGGAGGAGCCCTGGGCCCCGGGCTGGGGTGGGAGGGTCCCAGGAACTACAGTCCAGGCGCCGAGCCACCTAATATTCTACCACCCTCACCAGCTCCACAACAACGGCCCTAGCACTGTCAGCGGCCTCCACCTCAGCATCCACCTCCCTGGCCAGTCCCAGTCCTCTGACCTGCTCTACATCCTGGATATACAGCTTCAGGGGGGGCTTCAGTGCTCCCCACAGCCCTCCCCCAACCCCCTCAAGGTAGAGCCTGGGGGGGGGGGGGGGGGGGGGGGGGGGGGGGGGGGGGGGGGGGGGGGGGGGGTCCCAGCCCATCAGCCAGGGCTCCTCCGGGAGCGCAGGGCGACGGGCAGAGTGTGGGATCTGACAGCTGCCTTGCCTCCCCAGCTGGACTTGGGGGTGCCCACCCCAATCCCTTCCCCCGCTTCCCGGGGCCACCACAAGCGGGAGCGCAGGCAGGCGTTCCTGTCAGGGTCCAAGCAGCCATCGAGGCTTCAGGATCCAGTTCTTGTGGTGAGCAGGCTCTGTGGTCTCCAAATGGGGTCTCTTCTCCCTGGAGCCCAGGGGGCAGGGGGATGGGAGGCAGAGGGACCGAGAGTGATGTGGGCCTCAGGGTGGCCGCCTCAGTCCTTGTGCTGGTCTCTCTGGGGCGGGGCGGGGCGGGGCGGGGGAAGATCCCAGGACATTGAAACGAATGAATACAGGCCAGAGCAGGGTACCAACATTCTGGGCATTGAATACTGTCTGATGGCCCGCTTTTCCCGCCCTCTCCCTGGATCCCCGGGACTGTGTGAACAACTCCATCTAGAGCAGTGGTTCTCAACCTTCCTAATGCCGCGACCCTTTAATACAGTTCCTCATGTTGTGGTGACCCCCAACCATAAAATTATTTTCGTTGCTACTTCATAACTGTAATTTTGCTACTGTTATGAATCGTCATGTAAATATCTGATAGGCAGGATGTATTTTCATTGTTACAAACTGAACATAATTAAAGCATAGTGATTAATCACAAAAACAATATGTAATTATATACGTGTTTTCCGATGGTCTTAGGCGACCCCTGTGAAAGGGTCGTTCAACCCCCAAAGGGGTCGCGACCCACAGGTTGAGAACCGCTGGTCTAGAGAGAACGTCTGAAAGTTGGACCTGAGGCCCTTCCTGAGGCCCAAGCTCCCTGACTGCCCCTCCCGCACACGCGCACACACTGTGCCGCCCCCACTCCCTCCGTGCTGGGCCCCTGGGATGAGGGGGCGCGGTCAGGAGGGGCTGGGACTCATTGCACATCCCCTCAGAGCTGCGACTCGGCGCCCTGTACTGTGGTGCAGTGTGAGCTGCAGGAGATGGAGCGCGGGCAGCGGGCCATGGTCACGGTGCACGCCTTGCTGTGGCTGCCCAGCCTCCGCCAGGTGGGCATGACGTCAGGGCGGGCCTTCTGGAGGCGGGGCTGAGTGAGCTTTGGGGAGAGGCGGGGCTTTGGGGAGCGGGCAGAGAGTAAAGACCAGGTTTACTTTGTTTTCTTTTTTTTTAAATTAATTGTTTATTGGGGGGGGGGGGCTACTTTGAAGGGGTTGAGATTAGGCAGGGGCACGCTCCCCCAGGAGGGGGGGCGGGGGTCAGGTGCTGGGACTCCTGCAACCAATAGGCCTGTGTGAACGGCTTCCCCCACCCCCTCCAGAGGCCCCTGGATCAATTTGTGCTGCAGTCGCAGGCTTGGTTCAATGTCTCCTCCCTTCCCTACACCGTGCCCGCCCTCAGCCTGCCCAGCGGAGAAGCTCTGGTGAGTATGGGAGAACGTTGTCAAGGAGATGGGCCCTGCAGGACCCACTGGTCAGCCCCTGTGTCCTGTGGGCAGGATGAGGGCGGGGCCTCCCTGGGTCTGAAGGGTGGGACTGGCAGATGGCTGGGCTGGGTGTCTCCACCCGACGGGTCTGAGGTTTTGGAAAAGCGAGGTGTCGAGGTGACTGAGGACATGCGCCCGTTTGTCCCAGGTCCAGACGGAGCTGCTTCGGGCCTTGGAGGAGCGGGACATCCCCATCTGGTGGGTGCTGGTGGGCGTGCTGAGTGGCCTGCTGTTGCTCACACTCCTGGTCCTGGCCATGTGGAAGGTGAGGTGTGAAGGGGGGGGAGGGTCCCTAGTGGGCACAGACTGGGCCCTGCCCACCCTCACAGGGAGGCAGAGAGGCAGTGGTCCACGGGGTGACCCAGCGCCCAACTGATGTACATCTCCATTATTATTTTTAAAATGTATTTTTATTGATTTCAGAGAGGAAGGGAGAGGGGGGAGAGATAGAAACATCAATGATGAGCCCTAACTGGTTTGGCTCAGTGGATAGAGCGTTGGCCTTCAGACTGAAGGGTCCTAGGTTCGATTCCAGTCAAGGGCATGTACCTTGGTTGCAGGCACATCCCCAGTAGAAGGTGGGCAAGAGACAGCTGATCAATGTTTCTAACTCTCTATCCCTCTCCCTTCCTTTCTGTAAAAAATCAATAAAGTATATGTTTTTTAAAAAAAGAAACATCAATGATGAGCTGCCTCCTGCACGCCCCCTACTGGGGATTGAGCCCACAATACGGGCTTGTGTCCTTGACCGGAATCAAATCCAGGACCCTTCAGTCCGCAGGCCGATGCTCTATCCACTGAGCCAAACCGGCCAGGGTACATCTCCATTATCAGACTGTCATTCTCCAGGGGACCTTTCCCGGGACAGACTCCTGGAGGAGGCGGCTCCTGGGATGCAAAGTCCTTTAGACTCACTCACCCCTGAGAGGAAGTCACAGGGAGTGAGTCCTTCCTCCAGGAACTCCCTGGCTGCTGTGGAGGACGGGGTTCACCTACTCCCTGCCCCTTGTCAGGTCTGACCCAGACCCTGCTCCCCGCTCCGCATGAGGCCCTGGTGGGCCCCTCTCTCCTCTGTGCCTGGAGGACACGTGGGCTGGTCTCAAGCTCACTCAGGTGCCAAGCCCTGGGAAACGTGGTGCTTTTGGGGAAAACCACACTTTAGACTTACAATAAATTAAATATATCATCATCATGCACCTGAGTCATATAGAGACACAATCATCAGTATTTAAGAAAAATTCAGGGAAGAAAAAGCAAAACATATTTTTAAATTGTTACATGTATTATCCCTAAATGGGGAAAGGCCTTCATTTGTGCAAACAGTGGGGTCCATATTTTGTGCTGGTCCAGGAGAGGACCTCATGGCTGGCTGGTTTCCAGCGTAATTGCTTCTTCCAGTGCTGCTCTGGGGCCTAAGGATCATCTTTATAACCTGGCCCTGTGCACCCCCAGGTTGGCTTCTTCAAGCGGAATCGGCCTCCCCTGGAGGAAGATGATGAAGAGGAGGAGTGATGGTGCAGCCCAGGCTCTGTCCTACAGGAAGGCTGGGCGTGATCCCTGCTCTGCCCCTTCTTCTCCGAGTGCCCCCCAACTCTGCTCACCCACAGGTTGGAGCTGTTCCATGGAGGCCTCCTGATGTCTTCCCGCTCCCATCAGAGCTGGGCCACCCCCTTTCTTGCTGCCAGATAAAGAGGCTGAGCCCCAACTCAGTGTGCTGCTTCCTCTTGGGTTCGGGGAGGAGAGGGAGGTGATATTTGGAGTGGGGATCTGGGGCTGCTAGAAATGTGAGCAGACAGCATCTGTCAAGGCAAAGGTTGCAAATTACTGTCTTTGAGGAGTGTCAGGGAGTAGAAGGTGGGGGTGGAACAAGGGAGAAAGGGTGGCAGAGCCTCCGGGTGAGGCTGGAGGGGGATGGAGGTGTTTGAGGATGGCTGGGAGGATGGCAGAGTCGGCAGGCAGGGTCCCTGATGGGCAGCTTTAAACATTTTTTTATGATTTTGAAGAGATAAACACCAAGAAAAGAACGTGTTCTCCCCCTCTTTCCATTTTTTAAAAAGGCCTTTAAAGCTGTGTTCAGAGTGAGAAGAGGCAGAGAGGGAGGCTGACTGAGCCCTCATCCTGAGGAAGGCAGTGTGAGGGAGGTGTGACTATTCCTTCTTCCCCACCAAGGAGAAGGGTCTTAAGTTAGGAAATAGGCACCAGGCAGGAAGGCCCCAGGAGGGCTAGGAGTGGGAGACACTGAGGTCGGAGTCAGGAAGTAGTGGTGGGGGGTCCACCTGGAATCCTGAGAGATTTGTGGATTCATGTGTTCAATAAACATTTATTGAGCACCTACTATGTGCCTGGCACCATTCCAGTGCTGGGATGGAACAGGGAACAACAAAAAAGTCCCTGCCTTCATGGAACTTCCATCCAATCAGGGGCAAAGAGAAATAAATCCTATATAATAAAAACCTAATATGCAAATTGTCCCCACAACTGGGAGTTCGACCAGGGGGCAGGGCCAGCTGGCCAACCGCCCACAGCTCCTGTCCCTGGCCGGCAGCCCCTAGGGACCCTCCCCGTGCACGAATTTTATGCACTGGGCCTCTAGTAAATCCTATATAATAAAAGGCTAATATGCAAATCGACCGAATGGCAGAATGACCCATCGCTATGAAATGCACTGACCACCAGGGGGCAGATGCTCAATGCAGGAGCTGCCCCCTGGTGGTCAATGCACTCCTACAGGGGGAGCGCTGCTCAGCCAGAATCTGGTCTCATGGCTGGTGAGGGCAGTGGTGGTGGTGGGAGCCTCTCCTGCCTCCACTGCAGTGCTAAGGATGTCCAACTGAAGGCTTAGGCCCGCTCCCCTAAGCCGGTAGTCAGACATCCCCCAGGGGCTCCTGGACTGCAAGAGGGTGCAGGCCGGGCTGAGGGACCCCCCATCAAGTGCACAAATTTTGTGCACCAGGCCTCTAGTAAGTAAGTAAGTAAATAAATAAATAGTCAGTGGTGGTTAGTGATAGGAATAAAAATAAAGATAGGGAGCTAGTGGTAGAATTATGTGGGTGTTGGGAGCAGGCTGACTTTACAGGCAGAGTGGTCAGGAAAGGCCCCTCTCATGAGGTGAGCAGAGGAATGAATGAATGAGCCAAGCGGCTGCAGGGAAATAAAGTGCTCTGGACAGAAAGAGCAGCCAGTGAAAAGGCCCTGAAGTGGGAGCAGGCTTGGCGTGTTCAAGTAAAAGCAAGGAGGCCCCTGGGCTGGAGGCAGGTGAGGGATCAGGAGGTGAGGTCAGTGGTGGGGGCAGGCAGGAAGCACCTGTGACCCAGGAGAGAACTTTGGACTTGATGCTAAGTGTTGGGGGAAGCCATTAACGGACAGACTTCCCTCACAAGAGCTGCTCCCAAAGGGGAAAAGGTAGATTCTGAACAGACCAGAACAATTTGACATCCATGCATGGCAAGTTCCAGAACAGGTTTCTAGTTGGGTGGCTGAATATTTAGGAAAAGATTAAGCCAAGGCCCTTGAACACCAGCCAAGTTCCCAGTCCCTCTGCCATTGCAACTGGATGGCCCTAGACAATCTATCTTTTTTTTTAAAAATATATTTTATTGATTTTTTACAGAGAGGAAGGGAGAGGGATAGAGAGTTAGAAACATCGATGAGAGAGAAACATCGATCAGCTGCCTCCTGCACACTCCTTACTGGGGATGTGCCCGCAACCAAGGTACATGCCCTTGACCAGAATCGAACCTGAGTCTGTAGGCCAATGCTCTATCCACTGAGCCAAACCAGCTAGGGCCAGACAATCTATCTTGATCCAGCAAAGCATTTGGCATTTGTCTTTATGTGCACAAGGCAGACATGTGAGCTGGACGATGGAGACTTGGATTGAAAACGGAACGGAGTTGATAAAGCTGAAGCATGTCTCTGTGGGGGTGTCCCAGAGCTCCAGCCCAGCCCTGGGCTGCTCGGTACTGTCAGGAGGCCCTTCACCCTGCAGATGGCTGCTGGCTGAGCGGGAGCTCCAACACACTGGGTGACTGGCGCAGACTCAGGCAGCCCTGACAGATTGTAAAGTTGGGTTGTAACCAACAAGAGGAAAGTCACTAGGGATGAGTGCTAGATCCTGTGCTGAGGTTCCAACAATTTGGTTACATAAGAATGGGAACTGGGAAATCTGGTTAGATGGAAATTTACGAGAGGAGGGAAGGAAAGGAAAGGGAAGGGAAAGAAAGGAAGAAAGGATGGAAGAAAGAAAGGAAGGGAAGAAAAGGAAGAAAAAGAAAATATGGTGGTTTTGTCCACAGTCTCAAAACAAGGTCCCCTTATTTCAGAATTCCCAACCGGGAGAGAAGCACCGGAAGAGAAGCCCATGTCCCTGAGGTCCTTGCTCTAGGTCTCCAGTCCCCTGCAGGGCAGCACATTTTGAGAAAGAAAAGGTAACAAGCCAGAGAGAACCGGGAGAGGGATGCCAGATCAGATGAGGATTTGGCCACCCAGAAACTGAGTGATGATGACCATCAGAAACTGGAAGGGAAGCTGTGTGGCTGGGGCTAGAGGGCCGGCCAGTAGCGATCTTCAAGGTGGGGTTCAATGGCTGAGGAAGAAGGAAAAGACTCAGATTGTCATCCATGAAGCAGAACCAGTGAGACCAGCCGGAGATTCTCAGTGGCACAGGCAGGCTGTGCCACCTCTAGAACCTCCTAACGGTTATGATAGCCCATCAGTAGATCGTGTCCATGAAGCAGAACCAGTGAGACCAGCCGGAGATTCTCCTAACGGTTATGCTAGCCCATCAGTAGATCGCGGTATCTGGGCCAACAGCACACCTGGTCAGACATGTGCTAGACCCTGTACATCATCTCGTGTAATCTTTACAGCAACCCCACGAGGTAGAGACTACAATTCTCACTTTAAAGGAAGGCTAAGTAGCTTGCTAACGGCTTAATAAGAGGCAAGAGCTAGACAAGACCGGGACTGATTCCCAGGGGCCTGCGCCCTATCTCCCCTGCACTGAGGGGATGTTTGTGCGGAGAGAGGGGAGCAGTAAAACAGGGCAGTTCTTACACTTTTTGGAGACGCTCATGACCATGGCTCTAGGCGCCCAGCCCCCGTCTAGGCCCAGGGTGGCAGCCGAAGCCTGAGCCCCCACCCAGCCGGGGTCTGGAGCGAGGCACCCGCAGGGGGCTGCGGAGCGGCCATCACCTGAGTACCCACCTATTTGAGTGTGTTGCAAGCAATAGCCATCACATACACACCAAAAAAATATGCACCAAATTTCGGGAACTCTGGAACTTCAAGCACCCAGGCGATGGGACCCCATTCGATACACTCCCTTGCAGCTCTGGGTCTGGAGCACAGGATGGTACTGTTCGAATGGGGTTCTTCGCCTGGAGCCTGACAGCCCCCCAGCCAGCCCCCCAGGTTTAGATTTTGGGGTGCACCAAAGAAACGCTGCTTAGCCCATGAAAGAGAAGGGGCTGAAGTTGGGGGGCTCTGAAAAAAGGGGTACATTGTGATTCCTAGCTCCAAGCGCATGGCAGGGCTGTGGTGGTGGAGCCTGCTGAGCTGGCTAGCTGACTGTGGGCAGTGCCGGCTGGGAGGGCAGGTGCCTGGGTCCCGGCCAGCAGGCCTCCGGCCATTCCTGTCCCCAGTCCGCTCCCCGATCACCCCCTCCTCATCTCACCTCTCCATCGCCTCTCCGGGCCCAGGTGGGTGTGTGAGGTGGGGGTGGGGTCGGCTTCTGCAGCGGGAGAGGGTGGGAGAGCTAGAGGATTACTTCCTCCCTAGCTTGGGCTCTCAGGGTACTCCACCCACTCCAGCCCTGCACCCCCACCCACTCCTGCCCCACCACCCCGCCACTGCCCTCCCCTCTCCTGCCTCTGGGCCCCATCCCTGTCTGAACCTGAACTGGTGCTCTCCACTCCTCACTTCCCCACCAAGGAGCTGGCAGGAAAAGCAGGGTGGGGGAGTGTCCGTGAGGGAAGTGGGGTCCGGATGAAGGGAGGGGGTCGGATTTCCTCCTGGAATGAGGCAGGGCTGAAGCCAGGAGAAACGGATACCGTATGGAATGTCAGGCATTGAGGAATGGGGAAGGTTCGCCTCTGGCCTCAGTCTTCCTGGGAGACAAGAAGAGCTTTGATGGCTAGGAATGGTCCCCAGTTTCTCAGAAAGCTTTTCTCCAGCCCTGGACCCCAGGGGAGGGGCCCAGGGAATGGTCTGGAATGGAGCCAGGATCAGGGCTCTCCCAGAATGCTGTCTGGAAGCCCAGCTGATGGGTAGGGGGAAGGAAATCTACCAGGCACCCCCTCGCCCCCCAGTTTGGCGCTGGTGCCTTCTTCAGGCCTTACCTACCCACCCGTTTTGTTCTCTGGGCTCTCTCCCCTTTTCTTGAACCCAAGGCATTCCGTCAAATGACCATAGTCCCTAATTCTGGGTTCCCTTTGCCCAGTTGCTCTATCCAGCTGCTCCTAGCCCGGGGTGGGGGTAGGGAGTAGCCAGGCCCTCTAGCTTCTCAGAATTCCGACTCGGAGGTGGAGGGGGGCTGCCAGTTCCCAGGGGATCCAGAAAGGAAAGGGTCGCGTGTGTGCACCCACCCTGCAGAAGTGGGCTTTGGCCCGGGAGAGGACAGGGTGGTGGGTTCAGAACAGCTGGATGGGATGCCAGGGGCAGGCGCGGCACTGGCCCTGGGGTTGGAAGCCTGAGATAAGACACCTGTCACTGTTGAGTATTAAGCTCCACCCATGAGGCCCCTGGACCTTCCCGTGCCCTGTGGCCCTCAGCCTCCCTTTGTACCTGGACTCCCCTAGTTTTGTGTCCAGCACCCAACCCACTCCCACCTGCCTCCTGGGGCTCATGCTTGGGTCTCTGTGCCTTTCCAAGCATGACACCTTCCCGCATTGTGAGCAGCAAGGTAGGGGTGAGGCATGCTTTTGAGGAAGGGCTGCGCTGAGTGAGAAGGGGTCGCTGGTGCGCTGGATCAGAGAGGCTGCCTGGAAAACCCGTGAGAGCAAATCTAGGCCTGGTTCCTCCCCCCATCGCCCCACCTGAGAGCAGGACGCCTGCAGGGCCATGCCAGCGAGACTGTCCATGGGCGAGGGGCAGAGTTGGCTGGAGAGCGAAGGACTTGGTTCCCTTCCCAGCCCCCTCCATACCAGCTTCCCTTGGGCCTGGGTCTCTTCTCCCCTCCCCCCAGTCTCTTTCCCTTGCCAGGGCCCCAGCTCCCTGCCCATCCTCTGGGAGGAATGAAGGAGTTACCGTGGTGACTGACTGTAGCTGACCAGCTGGGAGGGGGCCAGCAGTACACTGAGGAGGAGGGGTCAGGAGGTACTTGTCTGGGTTTCGGTTGGAGTGAGTCCCTAAATCTGAAGAGAAACAGGTTTGTGCAAAGCGTTCTAGGAGGTGGATGAATGATGGGAATGACCAGTTCCCTAGAGTCCCCTTCTCCGTTTCTTCTTAAGAACCCAAACTCTGACCCAGCACCCCATCCTCTCTTCCAAATGGCTGAATCCTGACCTCTCTCCTCTCCACTTGTCGCCTCTGGTTCTCCACTTATTCATTCTTTCTCAGCCCTCCCTTCCCTCTCCTCTCCCTGGCACCAGCCCCATAGGGTCCGGCGGTTAAGAATTTAGGTCTAGAAGTCAATACCCAGGTTTGGACCTCCCACTTAACTGTAGTACAAATATATAAATTCTTTGAGCCTCAGTTTCTTTATCTGCAAAATGGGCTAAGAGCATGTCTTATCGAGTCTAATACATCATTGACTGGAAGATGCACCATTATTTCATGTACCAGTAAGAAAGGGAAAAAATGCTGCCAATTATAATTATGACAACATCAACCATAGGCATAGTCTGAATTCAGACATGTTAAAATGTGGTTAAGTGCGTCTGTTAGACTTGATGAAATAGTGCCAACTACCTCACAGGCTGATGTGACATTTGAGGGCTCTGTAAATGCCAGCTTTTATACTGTCTTATCTCGCCTTGCTCCCAACCCACAGCCCCCTCCTCTGATCTTGAGGCTCCCCCAGTTCTCTCTTCCTCCCTTCCTCCTCCTTAACTCTCCTCACCTCATCTTGTCCACAGAGATCCTGATCAAGGTCCAGGTGTATGTGAGCGGGGAGCTGGTGCCTTTGGCCCAGGCCTCAGTGGATGTGTTTGGGAATCGTATGCTGTTGGCTGCTGGCACCACGGACTCGGAGGGTGTGGCCACACTGCCCCTCAGTTACCGCTTGGGCACCTGGGTGCTGGTCACTGCTGCCCGCCCTGGCTTCCTCACCAACTCCGTGCCCTGGCGCGTTGACAAGCTGCCCTGTGAGTGCAGGGGCAGGTGGAGGGGGGACAGCAGCTGACCCCATCAACCCCTTCCCAAAATAGTCCTTGGGGGCGGAGGGGGTAGGCTTTCCAGCAGCTGCTGCCTGGCCTGGGGTATGCAGAGGGGGCTGAGGGAGGATGAAGTCACTAGGATTCGGATGGAGGGAGTACCCTGCCTGGGTGTGGGCAGGGGCTTTCTCTGGAGCTAACAGGCCACCCCTCCTGCAGTGTATGCGTCAGTCAGCCTCTACCTGCTCCCCGAGCGGCCGGCCACCCTCATCCTCTATGAGGACCTGGTGCACATCCTGTTGGGTTCTCCTGGTAAGGCTCCCTCCTACCCACCCCCAAGCTCTCTTCCGGCCCCCTGACCTGAGTATAGAGAGCCCTGCTCTTCCACACTAGCTGGGTGCCCTTGGGCAAGTCACTTAACCTCTGAACCTCAGTTTTTTCATCTATAAGATGTGGATATTGATAGCATCTGCATCATCAAATTGAGGTGAGGATTGAATATTATCAAGGATGCAAAAAACAGCACAGAAGGTGGCCAATAAATGTTTGCTGTTACTGGGGCTTCTCGTGGTTTCTATTCTCCCTCTACTACCAATAGCATTCCCACTCCGTGCCACCTGTGTCTTCAGCGGGTCACCGAGTCCTTGTTGTGCACCTCCTGGGTGCATGGCCATGTTAGAAGACCATGAGAGGGTCGTTCCAGGGTACTGAACACAGATGGAGTGCAAGGCCTGGAGCAATCCTGCAGTGGCCCTGGTGTCATTCAACTAAGACTGACGGCGGCACCGGGGCTGGGCCAGGCCCTGTGTCTGGTGCTGGGGAACCGTGGTAAGGAAGAACAAACCCATTCCCTGCCTCGTGGAGTTCACAGACAAGTAGGAAAACACACAGACAGGTTGTCCCCGGAATAATGACAGAGCAGGCAGGACAGTGGAGGAGAGGGTGGCTGCATTCAATATGGAGAACACCCGGCCTAACCTGTGAGTGTGCCAGGAGGAGAGCATGTAGTGAAGGGAGCTGTGGAAGAGGGAGCAAAGGCATCTTCACCGGAGAGGAAGGCCTGGGGGAATCTTCCAGATGCAGGGGCAGAAGGGAGAGGGATCGTGGTTGAGCATCGACCTAGGAACCAGGAGGTCATGGTTGGATTCCCGGTCAGGGCATATGCCCGGGTGGCGGGCTGGATCCCTGGTGAGGAGCATGCAGGAGGCAGCCGTCAATGATTCTCTCTCATCATTGATGTTTCTATCTCTCTCTTGCTTCCTCTCTGAAATCAATAAAAATATATATTTTTTAAAAAGAAGGGGGTGCTCTGGTCTGGCTATGCAGAAGGGGCACCTAGAGCAGACTGGTTGATGAAGCCTGGCAGAGGGGAGGCTCCATCTAGCTAGCACTAGGGAGCCACACTGGGTTGTGGAGTGAGAGAAGCCCCTCCTCAGTTTATATCCTTATCCCCCAAATTACTCATTTGTTCATCATCATTTCTCTGATCCTGAACCAGAGGCTTCTAAAATTTCTTTGGAGGTTTCTTTTTAAAAATGTCTTTCTTTTATTGACTTCAGAGAGGAAGGAAGAGGGGAAAGAGAGAGAGAAACATCAATGATGAGAGAGATTCTTTCATCGGCTACCTCCTACACGCCCCACACTGGGGATCAAGCCCGCAACCCAGGCATATGCCTTGACTGGGAATCAAACCATGACCTCCTGGTCCATAGGGTCAACATTCAACCACTGAGCCACACCGGCCGGGCTGGAAGTTTCTAATATGCCAAAGGAGCCCAGCCGGTCTGGCTCAGTGGTTGAGTGTCTACCCAGGAACCAAGTGGTCATGGTTCGATTCCTTGTCAGGGCACAAGCCCTCGTTTTGGGGGCTCAATCCCCAGTAGGGGGCATGCAGGAGACAGCTGATCAATGTTGATATTTCTCATGGATGTTTCTCTCTCATCGATGTTTCTATCCCTCTCCCTTCCCCTCTCTCTAAAAATCAATAAAAACGTTTAAAAAAATCAAAATAAAATGCCAAAGGAACCCTTTATTGCTTCCTAGCTTAAAGCCTCCCACAGCTCCCACTGCTTCAGTATAAAGCCTAGACTCTTTCACTTCCTGACCACGCCCACTGGAACCTGACCTTGCCCTGCCACTGCCTCACCCCCCCACCCCCCCAATCCAGTCATCTGGAGGCCCCTGACCAACAGGCTGCTTAGTGCCAGGGGCCTTGCTCCTGGCAGTCCTGCAAGTTCCTTTCCCCTTTCATTCCTGGCTGTCTTATCCTGCCAGGTGCCACAGGGCCTTCGGAGCTGGGCGGGCCGAACTCCTCGTGCACCCTGCACCCGTTATTGTAATAGCGAGGCGGGATAGAACAGTGGGGACCGAGTGTGTCCTGGCACCAGACTCCGTGGGCTTCAGTTAGGCTCCAGGACTGTGACCTGGGCAAGTTACTGACCTTCTCCCGCCTCCATTTCCATCCTATAAAATAGGGTCCGTCCATGATAAAGGTACCTAGTCAGGGACTGTTGTGCTAATTACAGGGGTTTTAATATAGATAACCGGCTTAGAACAGTGCCCAGCATATCAAAGCTTAACCAAAGTTACTATTACCTTATTGTATCAGAATTCCGTTTCACATCCTCTCCACCCCAAGGCAGGCAGACAACACGCAGAGCCTAAGCTGTCTAATGCAGTAGCTACTAGCCACACATAGCTATTTAAATTTAAATGAATTAAAAACCCATTACATTTTTAAAAATGAAAAATAAACCCAGTTCCTGAGTCACACTACACTGGCCACAGTTCAAGTGCTTGGTAGCCATGTGTGTCTGTGGGCGCTGTAATGGGCACCACAGACGTAGAACGTTTCCATCTACCACAGCAGAAATGGGCACCCTCACACCGCACCACACTGGGCTGTGAACCTGAAGGCTGGGAACTGCATTGTATCTTATTCATATTTGTATCCCCGGCACTTAACACAGTGCCTGCCACACCGGAGACAGTAATTGTTTGAGGACCTCAACCTCATCACTTTACAGATTAACTAGAGGCCCGATGCACGAAATTCACGCAAGGGTCTTGGCCCTCGCAGCCCTGGCTTCGTTCGGAAGGTCATCTGGAAGGACATCTGGAAGGTCATTCGGCTGTCCAGTCTAATTAGCATATTATGCTTTTATTATTATAGATAAGGAAACTGCTCCAGGTCACACAGCCAGGACTAGGGTTCTGGTCCACATTCCTTCCGAATTAACATTCTACGACTGCCCAGTCTTCTCACAAGTCACCACCCTCCCTGGCCTCCCCAGTGGCCTGACCCGCTGGCTCCCCCTCTCCTTAGATACTTGCTTTCCTCTCTGGTCTCTGGGCAGCCTTGCCCCTGGCCAGGCCACTGCAGCCCCTCCTCTCTCCATCAGGTGCCCGCTCCCAGCCCTGGGTGCAGTTCCAACGGCAGGCTGCCCGCCTGCCTGTCAGCTCCACCTACAGCCAGCTCTGGGCCTCGCTCACACCTGCCAGCACCCAGCAGGAAATGCGAGCTTTCCCTGCCTTCCTGGGCACCGAGGCCTCCAGCTCAGGTATGCTGGGTGCCAGGCACGGAAGGGATGTCCCCCACCTCGAGGGCTTACCCCTCAGCTCGGTGTCCCCTTCCCCTAGGCAATGGCTCCTGGCTGGAGCTGATGCCCCTGGCGGCTGTGAGCGTGCACCTGCTGACAGGCAATGGGACAGAGGTACCACTCTCGGGTCCCATTCACCTGTCTCTGCCTGTGCCCTCGGAGCCTCGCGCCCTGGCTGTGGGCACCAGCATTCCAGCCTGGAGGTTTGACCCCAAGAGTGGTGAGTGTCTCAGGGAGTTGCCGGGGCTGGAGTTTGGGGATAGAGACTTAGATGGGAGGACGTTGACTCTGATGCAACCCCTGCTTCTCCCAGGGCTTTGGGTGCGCAACGGCACTGGTGTGATCCGGAAGGAAGGCCGGCAGCTCTACTGGACCTTCGTCTCCCCCCAGCTGGGGTACTGGGCGGCTGCCATGGCCTCCCCCACGACTGGTGAGAGTGTGGTAGGGGGGACGGGGCAGTAGGGGAAGGGGAGGCTGGGAGAGTGGATTCCTTCTGAAAGGCAGGAAGGGCATCCACACCTGGAATGCTAAGCCCTTGCCTGGCACAGGGCTGGTCACCATCACAACAGGCATCCAGGACATCGGCACCTACCATACCATCTTCCTGCTCACCATCCTGGCCGCCCTGGCACTGCTGGTGCTCATCCTGCTGTGTCTGCTCATCTACTATTGCCGGTGAGTGATACCCAGACCCCACCTTCTCTCATCCCATGCAGACGGAGGCCACCCTAGGCCTGGCCTTGGGTTGGGTGCTCAGGCCTCCAAAATGCATAAAAGCACAGCCTGATCTTCAAGGCGCCGGCTGGAAAGCAGGGCATGTGCACATGCAAAGACTGAAAGGCTGGTGGCTTGAGACAAGTGGGAGGGAGGAGGCAGGACCGGCAGGGCAGGCCCCTCCAGAGACAACCAGCCCAGCTCTCACCTCCATGGGGCCTCGGGCTCGCACATCCTCCAAGGTTCTCACCGCATCCCCTACTGCGCAGGCTTGCAATTTACCCGAAAGGGACCCAAATGGGCACAGCTGCTAGCTGGACCTCCCACAGACATACAAGCTCTTTCCACAAACTTCTACCAGGAGTTTTTGTTTGGTTGGCTGGATGCCTTAGTCCCAGGCATTGTCCCGATCCTTCCAACTGTTTCCACCCCTCATCTTGCAGCTGTGGGTTAGGGAGCTGCTCCGCCATGACCCTTTCCTAAGGACCCGTCTGCCTTCTCTCCAGGAGGCGCTGCCTGAAGCCCAGGCAACAGCACCGCAAGCTGCAGCTCTCCGGGCCCTCCGACGGCAACAAACGAGACCAGGCCACCTCGATGTCCCAGCTCCATCTCATCTGTGGGGGGCCCCTGGAGCCCACCCCGTCGGGGGACCCCGAGGCGCCTCCTCCCGGCCCCCTCCACTCCGCCTTCTCCAGCTCCCGCGACTTGGCCGCCTCCCGGGAGGA